CCTTGGTGGTCCTGATGGTCTACCACCGAGTTCAGTGGTTTTTATTTTTAATACTTAAACAAAATTGTGAGAACAAAGGCTAAATGAAAAATGTCTTAAAAGTATTTTTGTTCATTTATTAATTTTGCTGCTGTGGATTCTCAGTAGGTTGGTCTTGGAGCTGCCTGGATCAGAACTTTCTGTTGTTTTAAACTCAGTTCAGTTAAAGTTTGATGAGTTTGGAAACAGTGTTTTTAAAGGAATGCATTTAGTTTGTTTGTCAACAAACAGTCATGAAAAGTCATGTTATAATAATTATCATCACATTTCCTGTCAGTTTATTGAACTTTTATTTTGAAATATTCTCCATTTGCATTGAAAGTAATAAAACATGTCGAGCTAAGAGTCTGAGGAGTTTCCATCAGTCAGGGGCAGCCGAACAGAATGTCCACAGCGTAGTTCTGCAGCTGGGTGCGGTACTCCTGACACTCTGGAGAACTGCAGTCCTCCTGCCACAGCTCCACCAGAGCGTCCGAGTCCAGCGGGAGACGATACCTGCAGGAAGTGAACAGCACACGACAGGTGAGCGTCACGACAAACAGGACGAGGAACGACAGGTGACGGACAGAACCACTGACTTGATGACGTTGTTGTGGTTGACCTCTGACCACTGGGATCCCATCACCAAGTACTGCTTGTTGTCCTGGAGCACCACCCCGCTGCAGGTGGCCTTCTTTACCAGGTCTACCTCCGTACCTGCCCTCACCATGTTAAACTCTGCAGAGACGATAAATAAACTTAATTAATATGTTTTATCTGAGGCTTCTTTTAGTTTAAGTTTCTGTGTAAACTCTGTTTTTGTTCAGATTAATCCTCGGAGCTTTAATCTGAGGTTCTTACCTGGACTGTTGTGCAGGATCTGATCGACTTTGACTGTGTAGATCATGAAGTCTCCTTCTGCTGTGTGAGACCTCACCGTCACCTTGTAGGCTGCAGGAGGAACATCAGGTGTTCAGGAAACAAGCAGCAGTGATCAGGTGTCTCTGCTGCTCAGCTGCCTGATCACAGGAAGCTGTTTATCCTGAAACATGTTTCTTTTTACGTTCTATCATTTAAAACATGGACCAGTTCTCAGCTCAGATCTCCTCCACACAGCATGACGCTGCCGCCCCCGTGCTCCTCCTGTCTGTTTACTCAGTGGTGGAAGAAGAATTCATCAGAAGAAACCAGATGTTTGGTGAAGTTTTTACTTCCTGCCTGTAAAACCTGTGTTTCAGTAAAATCATCTGACCGTAACTGATGTGAGATCTGCAGGTTTCCTCCAACCGACGGTCTACTGTCAGCGTGTTGTCCATGGTTCCTCTGTAGGACGCACAGGCAGCTGCACAACGACACACAAACAACACACAAACAACACACAAACAACACACAAATAACACACAAACAACACACAAATAACACACAAACAACACACAAATAACACACAAACAACACACAAATAACACACAAACAACACAAAAACAACACACAAACAACACGCAAACAACACACAAACAACACACAAACAACACACAAATAACACACAAACAACACACAAA